CCTGTCATAGTCTTTTCTAAACACTCTTTCGGGTAACTACAAGAAGCGCACTTGGATAGGTGCCCACTATGCCTCAAATGATCAGAACATTTGTGCAGTAGGCAGGCCCACGGTTTTGGCTGGCCTTCATTATGCTATCCTTCGTCATTCTTCGAAGAAGCCTGGTATCCCCTACACACTTGCAAAGAATTTTGTGCAAATTTTGTGCAGCAATGGCTGGCGACGACGAAGCGGGTATGCGCCACACTTAATAGATGATCAAGAACAAGCTTTCGTAAGAGTTGGAGCATTGAACAACACACTCGTTATGCAATTCGCACGCTGTGACGCCTGGTAGATCCTTTACTGTTCTAAAACGCTTTATTATTCATAGTAATGCAATTCCTTTCCCTACATCAAGCCTGCCTAAGGAGAGTTTGCAACAAAGTTACGGGCACGGGGTAGCTCTGCAGTAGAATGCTGGGCTCTGAAGCAGGGTACCCGGGTTCGAATCTCGCTCTGTTCTCAGTGTTTTTATTTCCATTTCTTTTTTATTATTTCGTGCGATAGTGGTTAAAAACACTGCCAGCAGTAAACTACGGCACCACATGCACCTCTTCTTGTGATTTCATAACAGCTTTCCCTGAGAAAAGGAATCACGCTACAATGTCAATTAATGTAAAGAGACAGCCTTCAAGAAATTAAACACAGAAACAATGAAAAAATTAAGTAGGAGACAGTGACTTGCCACTGAACCCTGGAGTGAGCCCAGCAAGACACTGAGAGTAAGTAGTGCTCAAATATCTTTTTACGCTCTGCCAGAGTAGACAAGTCGGTCAAAAGTGGCAATCAAATCTGCCAGGCCTCACCGGACAGCAGAAGGAACATTATGAAATGCAGTGTACTTTTTTTGCTTCCCGACACAATTTACTTTAAATTAATTAAGTATTATATTCACCATTCGCATTTCTTGAAGTTTATCTCTTTCTGCACTGCGATCATTCATTCCATTGTAAGAAGTCTACTGTACTCATTTAGCAAAATAACAATTTTAACATTGATTACCGTTACTGAAAAAGCTCAATTTCAACCCGGTTAGTTAGAACTTACAGTTAATTTGAACTGACACGTTGGTCCCGGCAGCACCCTGTTTATTTCTATGGGGGCGGGAAGGGGGGGGGGTCTGCAATTCCAATGCGTTGGTATCCACAACGGTGAATTCCACAATGGTACATACAGCCGCCCATTTCTTTTTTAGACCTGGGTCAATAAACGCCGATTTCCGGCATCCTGGAGTCCGGTTCTCTGAACATGCAGCCATGCAGAAAGCAGTTGCACATGACTGTTCATCAGGAACATGTGCGTATTGTCCTTCCTTTCGCCGCCATGCTTCGTTATACGGCGCTTATCGAAGGGACGGTCGACGCTCGCGCGTTCAGGTTAGAAAAATGGCCGGCTGTACCTTGAACTGACACAACACATTCACTACTTGGCACAACACAACGTAGTACTTCAGCAGCAGCACTCATGACTGATTTAAATGCAACATTCTTAGCAGGTTCACAAAGCTTTCCAGATATGTTTTGATAGCCAGAATGCGAAAAGGCGGCACTGGTATGTTCACCACTTTCGCCAGTATCGGCAAGGGGGAATCACAGCTCCATAATACAGCTTAATAGAACTTCCTGCTTTATCACATTACCGCGCAGTAAAGAGTCTCGTTCAAGTTCGCAAGGTTCCGCATGGCCAACGGTACAGTGGCTGTACCGACGGTTCGAACAGCGCCTCTACTATTGCTGGTTTGAACCATGGAGGAAGAAAAAAGGTTAGAACATTCACGTCGATGGCGTTAGAACTTTCGTAGCAACCGTCTCTTTACCCTAAACTTGGCCATATCTGCTTATGAAAACATTCAGCTCATACGAGTACCAGTGCTACTACAGACAGTATACAAATTACAAAACGCGCTCAGTAAATGCTTCAAACGTGCTCAAAGCAGGCAGAGACGCTCAAGTGCTCATCATAGAGAAAGGAAATAACTGCGGTCATCGCAACGTTTGGGAAGGAAAAAAAAAGCCTCACATTTTGTTTTTCTTTCAAAAACTTATTCCGATAAAAAAAGTGAACAGAAATATATACCTTTAGCGTTAGTGTTTGTTAGCTCATCAGTTTTTTTTTTTTTTTTACCACAGCCACTCCACATACAAATAACCCAGATAGATTCTGTGAGAAAATAAGAGGCTGCACTCATCAGGGGTTCAAAAGTGCAGGCAATTACATAATTTGTTTCACGCTGATAATAACTATTAAGTATATACTTGGAAATAAAGGTTTGCGTTTTGTGACCAAGGCATTATTGTGCACTAAGAATGGACGTCACAATAGCAGATAAAGTTTGTCGGCATTTGTGAGTTTTACAAGAAAAAACAGCACCACGTTTGTGGACTTGGGTGCTAATCATTTTGATTAAAGCTGTATTTCAGCAGAGATTTTTTCAGCTAAACTAGGGTTTATAGGCACTGCGGTATACGTAGGGACCGTTTCATTCTCTCCCATAGTAGAGTATTGTGTACTCTAAATCGTTAACCACTTAATTTAAACACATAAGTTTAGAAACTCGCTGATAACTCCGTGTCTTCATTGTCCTCTTGATTCCGGGACGGCTTTAAGCTCTCCCATAGCACCCTGTACTCTTCATTACCCACTTTTCAACCCTCCCCCCATGAACCTGTGTTAACGCGTGTTTCTGCATATAGCCTTCCTATTTATATAACTTTAATTATCTCGATGCTCATGAATGTCTTGCCCTTATTGTACAATTTCTGTACATCACTGCATACGCCAATAAGTTATTTTCGCTGTTTATAACAGCTTGTGCACTGTACATACGCATGATCATCATTGTCATCTCTCTGTATGCACATAAGCTATGTAAGATATACCTGGAAATAAAATTCTCTTAAACCAGTTCTGAAGGTCCGCCTTGTGCTCGCGTCGCTGTCTGACATATAGTGTGAATCTCTATGGCGTAATGTCCCTGGTCCAAGGGATGAAGCATTAATTACAGAATTGGAACCGCGTTATGAATTCCACAAGACAATGCGATCCGTTGTTGTTCTGGGATAGTGTACGTGATGTGACGCTCTCGGAGCAGCGTACTTGCACACAGGAGGGTGGTATGCGTTGCGACCAAGGAGGATACATGAAACTTGCTGGAGTGGAAGCCGCCTATGCGCAGCTACGGGAGAGAGTGAAGTCGCGCGGAGCGTGCGGCGGCCATGTTGCCAGTGGCAGAAAAGAGCCGAGCGCTGCAAATTTATGCTTCATCGCCCTGCGGGTGAAGTGACTCGTGTGTTTATAAAGCAATGTAAACAAGTAATTCTGGTTGTAAATGTTTATTGCGACTTGTACCCAGCCAAGTGGCATGTAGAGAACTCCATTAAAGTGCATATGCATCAAATAGCGATGCCTAAAGCAAACACATCATCGAAAACATAGGTGCCCTACTGGTGGTTGAAAATTATTGCCCTTGTCAAAAGTGGTCCCACCTTACTTTTGACCAATTCTCGTTTTTTTTTTTTTCCTTCGTCATGTGTTGTATCCTCACTTTTACGTGTTGTTCGGCGATTTGCCTGCACAAACTGTAAACCTGATTATCAAGCGTATCAAAGTCTAGGACGTGCTGCTCAAGTTTATGGAACCAGTTTTTCTCGGAGGAAGCTCATGGAACTTTCAGGATGAGGTGTTTTGCTCTTGACTTCACCGTTGTGGTGGAATCACATTCAGCCTCTAGCCGCCTCAGTCCTCGACTTCTTTACAGAGGCTAATGACATCTCGCGACGGTGAAACAAGACCACCTCGCCTCTTGCGTTGTTAAAGGTGTCAGCTCATCTGAGTGCATGGCTGCTATGCACTCTTCACAGGTAGTTGCAGTTCGACCTTTTGAACAATGAAGCCTGCTATGTATGGCACCACGGAACCGACAAAAGCAGAAAAACTTTCGGGCTACTCAATGCGATGCGTATTGTCGTGGTCATCGAGCTGCAGGACTGGGGCCTTGCGCATGTCAGTGAGATTACTTCTTGGATCTACCATGGCTGCAGGAGTCGTTGCATTCAATACGGAGAGAACATCTTGGGAGCAGTGTCCAGAAGTTCAAGACGTGACTCCGTCTGAACTAATAGACGCTTGTATGCAGCCATAAACTGCGAAGCTGTTGGGTTGTTGTTATGCCCGCCTCATCCACGTATTTATTCAAAGAAGTTTTCGGCATAGTCTTGACTGAGTGTGTCAGTAAGTATTTCAGCTGACCCTGGCTGACAAGTCTGTCAAACATTCTTTCCGTGCTTGCCATGCGTATCCAAAAACCAATGAATCCGTTTTTTTTTTTTTTTTTTTCAGTCCTTCTGTCACTGCCGGATCTCTCAGCCCATTTATGTACGCTCGAGTCTCCACAAAAAAACGACTTCCAGAATGCTTCGTTCCCCTGCCGAAGGGGCGCTTTGCAGGACCTTGCCAGCGGGTTTCTGGAGTTTAAGATGTCAAACAAGCGATCAAAAGTTCTAATAAACGTAGATCTTGTGCTGGCACCCTTGAATTGCGGCAGCTTTAGCTTTTGTTCGCAGAAGTCTAAAGCGTCGGCAACTGAAGCACTCAATCAGTTGTACAGCATATCATACCTTAATTTTCTTGCTTTTCCCATTAGACGTGGACTTTTGTAAGTTTGTTTCTGAACCACAACTCTTCTTCACGTTGAAGTGCCTTCAATGCCACTTCATAACCCCATTTCACATGCTTCCCTTCAATGTCAAAGTGGTGGAAGCACTCTGGCGCGAAGTGCACAGAGCGAAGTGATCTCAGTCTTTCGCATTCTACTTCTCACGGCGAACGGCCCACTCCCAGAGGCTCCGCGTTACGGGATCTTTAGTAAACCTGTAAAACAAATCCGGACTGTTATGTTATGTTGTCGCGTCAGTAACGAGCGCGGAATGGCTATGTCGAAGACGTTTTCGTGTACGTACAGGTGGAATGTGAGGCCACAATCTTTTTTCAACCTGTTGGCACATCCGTAAACGACGCAAGAGGCAACCATAGTAAACCATTTGTCTTTACATGCCGACAAGGTGAAACAAGAACGGACGAAATCAGCAGCTCGCGATGGCGCTAAGCACGCTTTTTGCCACTGGCAAGATGGCGGCGGCTGGCTTCACTCGCACAGCGCCCCTTCCACTCCAGCAAGTTTTCTGTATCCACCTATGTTGCGACCATGCGTGGTACAGTAGTTGGCCGGGGTTTTTATCAGCCGTGTTTATTTATTAGGCTATAATACAACCCGGCTCAATCTGGTTCGAACCACTACTTCCTTCACTGTGGAGTTGACTAAAAGCTTTACTGAACTGAAACAAAAACAAACAAACAAAAAGTTTTTATTAGAAAAGTTTGATCACCAGCCTCTATAAGAAATAATGCGGCTGGTTCTGGGTAATCGTGCACTTGAAGTCAAGGAACATTGGGTACGGCGCCAAAGACTGCTAAATCTAGGGATTTCGTAGCTTTTTTTTAAGGATTTAGCGTCTTTTTGTGGAATCTAAAGATTCTTCAAAGGCTCTGGAAGTGTGGCAGCTTGGGCTAGTTAGTATGGCATGACGATAGTTATAGCGCGAGAACAAAACAACGACACAGAGACAAGAAGTCCTTCGTGTCCTTCTCGTCTCTATGTCATCGTTTTGTTCTCGCACTATAGCTCTGCAAGTGTTACCGTTTACTATGTCACTCTAAGGTGTTACATGGCGCAGCCTAATGAAAGAAGTTACTGAATAATGCCACCTTTTCAACTAGAAAGACCATTAGGAAAATTTGCTGGTTTTTGTCAAAAAAAGATTTGGTCTGCTGGACAGAGTGAAGGCGAAACTTTTACGCATAATACTAGGGTGAAGCGAAATCTGGTCGTCGTAACTGTTTAGCATTCACGCGCTCTGTGTGATGCAAGCTACCCTGTGAAAGGAGAAAATTTCCTCTTGCAATAAATATGGAAATGTTTATGCTCGCCATGTGCTTTCACCGTGCCAAATCATTACATCTAATAACTGCTGGACCTGCAGTAGACTGACAGTAAGGAGGGTTGACAGCTGGGTAATTTGTGGTGGCCTCATTGTTATGAAGTCGGCCTGACGTAAAAGACCTAAAGACTTCAGGCCTGTGTGTTTTCAGCTTTTCTGTCGCAACGTTTACATAGGACCGAAAATAGTGACAAAAATATTGGGCCAACTTTGAAACTGATTGAAACTTAAGTACGGAGGTGTCCCAAGTGATAGTGAAAATGGACCCCTGCACATCAACTACAAATCATGCAACGTAACGTTGATTGCAAATATATAGTTAGACGTTGACCACTGTAGACCTCGAAGACGGCAAGCACATGAAAGGTACTACAGAATTGCACATATTTGTCTCTGTATAGCAATTCGCTCCATCTCTCAGTGGTGGGAACTTACATTTTCTGTAGAATTATTTCACAGAAAATGTAGAAAAAAGAATTTCAGTGGCTGTTAATATGTGTCTTGTTTCTTCAGTAAGATAAGATTAAGAGAATTTGAAGCACAGTACGAGTTATCCTTATATTTTAGGAAAGGCGAATTAGCCTGACTAGGGACATTATACACTCAATTTAAGGATTTTTGTTGAGACTTAGGGTGCTTTTGGGGGTCAATCTAGGGACAAAAGGTTGACATTGGTTGGCATCCCTGCATCGCGCCTGACCGCGCTTCCTTTCGCGTAACCATTGTTTGGCTTCGCTGTACTGCCGATGTAGGCAGGTCTCAATTTTCTCATTTTTTTGTGCTCTGTTCATAATAGGTGCTGCTGAGGTGAATAACCCTACGTGGTCTGCATCCAACACTCTTCAACCCAAGTGACATGTCGGTCGCCTTTGCTCAACAGCAGAAAGGGCGACATAACCCGAGTCCAGCTCAGATACAAAAGGTCGGTATTTTGTAGCAGTGTTCAGCTTTCTAAAGCGCAGAAAATACGTTAAGCAGCATTTCATTTTGCACGCAAAGCGATTGAATGATTCTAGTGGCTTTCACTTCTTGAAGGACAACTGGTGGGCGTGATAATGTGCACGAGCGTCCATCGTATGCGTAATGTTGTGACAGACACGTTGTGCGCTTCTTTTAAACGTCCAAAAGCCCATAGCGCAATTGCTGGTTTTGTCTCTAGTGAGTGCGGTTGCGTGCCTGCCTAGCGATGAATGCTGGTACTATAAGGCAGGGGCTGTCACGCCTGATGTTTCGCTGGTTTAATTAAACCATTATGGCAACAACACATGGGCTCACGATTACTCATATTTCGCGACTTTTCAGTAACTGTGTTAGTGTTGCTCTGTGCGGGTTTTTTGAGGAATTCGGTACTGAAACGCATGCGCTGTCAAACGTGAAGTCTTTTACATTTGAAACTAATCTAGCAAGAACGTATCATGAGAAAGTGTGCCCAGATTGTGTGCATTAAAAGTTTTGCGGCTCTTTTGGTTCGCCGTAGATGCTGGATGAAAACAGCCAACTCATACAAGCTATTGTCGACTATCAAAACAAAGGGAAAGCTTCGGAATGTCTGCAGTGAGTATGGATTCCCAGCCGCTGCTTTTGTTTCAAATGTTTCGAATGTGTCAAAGAAACTTCTGTACTTTTGTTTTTAATGCACTCTTTTTGAGTGTTACAGTTTTGTAAGAGGTATTTTTCTTTCCACGTTTTAGGTATCAGCAAATTTTACACAGGAATCTAGTCTACTTGGCATCAGTGGCAGATGCTGGTCCAATGGTGCAGGCATCAATTGTAAGTATTACTTTGGGACACACTGATTTGATTTTCTAAAGTAATAATTTTCCAAGTTTTTATTTTTTGAAGTAATAGCAATGTAATGTTATTCCTTTTGGTCAGTTGTTGATTGTGATTTTATTCATTTATAACAACTAAAAGTGAATAACTCATAATACACCCTTATTGCTTTTTAGTAGTAGTTGTGCCATATCTGGCATGAATACACCCAACTGGTTTCACTGTGCTGAAAAGTTGCTACCTGTATTCGCGGCTGTCGCAACCTGTAGTGAATGTGTGCTTTGTAAAGCTGGGAGAGAGAATAAACACAAGTAACACGTTGAAGGGCCCGTAAACCACCGGTCGAAATTCAGTTGTGGTGGAGAAATTGTGCACGAGTGTACAACGAACACTGAGCCGTGAGGATTTTTCGAAACGGTGCACTAATAGCAGAGTTACGGCGCGTTTGATTATCGAAACCATGACGACCACACCTTTCGCTCTCTCCTGCGCTTCCCTCCGCTGTAGTCCTCTCCCACGCCGCTTTGCCCTCTCGCTGAGCTCAATCTTGCATGGCATACGTCATTGCTGACGCGCTGCTTGAAACACCGTCTACTTCCGGGGGCCGCGACTCCAGCCGTCGAGTCCGTCAGTTGCATGCTTGTTGGTGAACTGTGGCTGCTGTAATCGGGCCGGTATGAATCCTGCATTGCACGCACGCCTTTAAAGGGTCACCAACGTGTTGGACCTGTATGGAGACACAACATGCCTCACATATGTTGCACGCATGCGGGCAACACGATGGACAACAAGCAGCGCGGACAGCTGCTTGCAGACTGACCGGAAATCGCAGGCTCTTGCTCGACCAATCACAGCATATTTGGTTCGGCGCGTCAGGTGGAAGCCAGAAAGGCTCGGAAAGGAGGAGGGATTGTCTCTTAGAATTTGTGGTGCACTGGCGGCTCGTAGCCCTGCCACATGTAGAATCGTTAATCGCGACGGCATTCTGCACACGATGCGCGCGTTTACTTGAAATGCTTGAAAAAATATCCGAGGTGGTTTACGGGCCCTTTAAAGCATGCTGCAGTTTTTAATGCAGGAATCCCAAATGCCTCCACAAACCCTGTAGCAGATTTCACTGAAACGTGGGGAGGCTAATGCCGTTTCATACATAAATTACGAAACCTCTGCAGAGTCATCAAAGCCATCTAAGAACTTTCCATTACCATCTCGTAAGATAAAATGTGGAGTCTAATTATATACAGGCTGTTTCAGAAAACAGCAACCAAGGATCTAAATAACTGTAATTATATACAGGCTGTTTCACAAAACAGCAACCAAGGATCTAAAAAACTGTTTTACCACAACTGTCGGAAACTGACATGAGCTGTCGTGTGGTACTAGTTAAGATATTTTATATTGAACTTGATTGATGATACAAAATATTAATATTCACTTTTGTGGCAATTGTATTTTGCTACATTGTAGTGGGCATTCCGAAATCACTAATTCATTTTTGTGGCAACATGCATGCTGCGTGGTGTTTCTTTTTTTGTCAGTGTTTGATAAGAGATGGTGATATAGGAAATAGTCATGTGACTGTGCTGATCTGCTGACATATTTCAAGTGAAGCAACCATGTTTGTGGACCACCATCTTATTGCTTATTAGGGACGATGGCTCTTCCTCATCATGTGCCGACGTAAAGATGGTTTCGTGCTGCAGCCGCCAGTTAGTTCACATTCTGCAACCATGGTTGTTTCGACCAAAGCATAGTTTGGAGGGTTGCAATCTGGTAGTGCATGAGTGCAGTCATAGGGTTTTATTTCATATTTTGCAGGCTGCCCAGATGAATGCAGTGTAACTGCCGATTGTTTCCATGATTAAAGCAGTATGAACTCTCAGTTGCACGAAGGTCGGTTTAACGAAAATTTCACAGTAATGATTTGTTAAAGATCCCCAACACTTTTTTATGCATTTTGTGCAAAAATCTTTCTGTCGAATATTTCAGGTTATGAACTTTATCTGTGGACGTGAGCTCACGTTTTAGATAAGTTCAATGAAGTTTCGTGCTTTGCTGCACTGGCATACCAATACAAGCTGCCCATGAATTGCCCATTCATCGGTGGCAGTACAACATTCCTTGTGCATGCAGCGCCACCAAGACAAAGCAGCTGTGCAGCAGACGAAAACCAGCCATGTGCGCTTCAGTACATGCCAGAACTATCACATTTAATGTTTGCACTGGTCATCTGGAACCTAGAGATAATATGACAAAGCAGTTTTAATGGCTGAGGCAGATTCAAACCTTGTATCTCTAGCCCCAAGGCTGTAGGACATAGTATTAAAGGGATACTAAAGAAAAACAATGAATTGGTTTAGATTGAGAAACTGAACTCTGAGAAATCTGTCAGGTTTCAGTATTATAAGTTCGTTATTAGCAGAGAAAATCAATGTGGAAGTTCCGCTCTTAAATGTACCAAAATGGCAATGTGGGATGCAAGAAATTTCAAAATGTATTTTATTTTCATAGCATTCGCTCTATAAAATTTTATGAAACACACTAAGTCTATGGAACCCACAGATTGCAATGTACTTAATTTTTATCTATTGGAAGTTACATAGGACACAGTAAACACCTTCAAAATTTATGTCATGGTGTGTGGTATGGGAATTTCCAAGGTAGCGTCGCCACCCGTATTACAGCTAATGCTGTTATGAGATCACAACTCAGGTCACGCGCAGTTGTCCGCTGCAGCTGCCACCACCGCTGCCAGTGTCCGTAACCACATCGCGGGAAATTAGAAAAAAAAAACCTAGCTCCAAAGACACAGTGTGGCTCAAAACCCGGGTCTGCTGGGTGCCAGCCCAGTATTCTATCACTGAGCCAGAAAAAAAAAACCTAGCACCAAAGACACAGTGTGGCTCAAAACTCGGGTTTGCTGGGTGCCAGCCCAGTATTCTACCACTGAGCTACGCCGGTGCTTGTGCCTTGTTGGCAAACCTAGCACCAAAGACACAGTGGGGCTCGAACCAGGGTCCGCTGGGTGCCAGCCCAGTATTCTACCACTGAGCTACGCTGGTGCTTGCGACTTGTTGGCAAACTTGCCTCAGGCAGGCTTAATGTCGGGAAAGCAATTGCGTTAATACGACTTATAAAGCGTTTTAAACAGTGAAAGAACAACCAGTCGTCGCACAATGCGAATAGCGTAACGAGTGGGCCATCCAATGCTCCAACCCATTACAAAAGCTTGTTCTTGTTCCCCTTTTAGCTGTGGTGCATACCAACTTCAGCCACAATTCTTCATTGTCGTCAGCCTCTGCATGAACAATTGGCACAAAATTCCTTGCAAGTGTTTAGCGGGTACCGCGCTTCTCAGAAGAATGACGAAAAATAACATAGCGAATGCCGGCCTACTACCCAAAAATTTATTATTAATGCCCTAGTGGGTATCAAGCAAGTGTGCTTGCAGTAGTTACCCAATAAGTGTTTTCAAAAGGCTCTGAAAGGCCGCTCTTCTAGCTTTCGTTGGGACTGTGCTGCATCCAGTGATGGAAGTGCTGCGCCAATTGCGCCAAACTGCGCCAAGACAGAAATGCTGCTACATGCTGCGCCAAATGGCTGTTTTTCGCGTATATTGCGCCATGCCTGCGCCGAGGCTAACGTTTTGTGACGCTCGCCTCCACGGCCAATGGTTCCGGAACCGAAACAGTGCCGAAATAGCAGCCAAGCCAAGCCTATCTTCAGCCACTGCTAGTCGTGTGGGAAGCGTTGGCTAGTGGCCAGAGAACGTCGCACCAGTCACACGTGCTGGGCGCATTGGCCGTTCCGTCAGGCAATGAAATGGCTTTTACGAGGAAAGGTAAACCTGCGTCATATGTCATTGACGCCTGTTTTGTGTTGGCTGATGTGGATATAATGCTTGAAAAGTTAACGTTGAAGTGTTTGAGCCTCCCATTGTAATTATTTGTAAAAACCTTGATGTTATTGTGCTGTTAAACCTACTGTTTATTGTCGCGTTTTTGACGCACATTTCGTGCTGTTTTTGGGCGCATTTGCTTTGGATGTCCCCTCCTGGGACATCAGTAGCCCCTAAAAGCACCGGAATTATCAAGGGGCTCGTCTTTTCTTTGTTCGACACAAGTATTTAAGTCCTGTTTTTATATCGCACATTATTAGCTATGAACTGACATGAAAAAAAAAATATAAAAGGCACGAGTGCCAATAGCTGCATTTATTAGCAAGTTATTCGTGGAGACTTGTATTGCGGGATCACAGCTCATTATTTTACATTGTTTGTTTGCGATTTGTAACTGTCTCCACGCAGCACGGTTCAGCGCACCAGCGGCTGTAGTTCGTACGAAGTGACCGTGCGGCATCAGCAGCCACGTGTTATGTATTGATGTGCGCATGAAGTTATTATCGTGTAATCTTGATCTGGGCCATATCGCGCTTATCTGTACTGACTGAACTGATAATATATCGAATTTTGGATTTTTAAAAATTGGTCGGTAGCATATGAAATGCGATTGTGAAAATTAACAGCGTGCCTATCGCCGTGGATTTTTATATAATCATAGCATTGTATAATGATATTACCGCGCCTTGCGATACCTATTTTAATTATTTTTTGTGCTATAGTGTGGCTCAATTTACCGTGCATTTGCAAAAATAGATGTCCAAGTTTGTGTTTAAGTTGTATTATCAGAAGTTTGTGTAATCAGGGTAACATTTTCTTTCAGGTCGTCAAAGCAAGTTTAATAACCAAGTGCTCAATGAGATTGATTCCAACAGTGACGTCATCTCTGTTTGGTGCAAGCAAGGGATAAAACAAGAGGAAGCGTTCTGCGCCATCTGCAACACTATCATAAACTGTGCACGGCATGGTGTAGCGGCTGTCAAGCGTCATGCTGCCAATAAGAGTCACGTTGAGTTGTGCACTCAACATAGAGATGCTTCTGGTGTTCTAAAGAAGCCTGCTACTAAGCAAGTTCAGCTGGAATCATGCTTTGCAACTGGGCCAGGACTTACGGAGGCAGACCGTGCTGCTCGAGCATACTTATTTTGCGCTTGGAGTGGCGTTATCTGGGATCCCTTATACATACGAGTATGCAGCAATGAAGATGATGCCGTTGATGTTTCCAGACTCTAATATAGCCAAGGAGTTCCAGTGTGGTAGGAAGAAGCTATCATACATAATTTCAGATGGCCTAGGTCCATATTTTACGAAGGCAGTCACAGATGAACTGAACAGGCCACACACATATTACACAATTCAGACGACGAAACACCGCTCCCAGAGCAATGCTGCCAACAGCTGGACGTGATGGCAAGATATTTTTCTGATACACAGAAGCATGTTATTGTTGAGCATTTGCGCTCTTATCACTTGGGCTCTGCAACAACAGAAATCTTGCTGGCACATGTCAAAGAAGCCCTGCAAGATTTGCCTGCAAGGAACATGCTCTGCTTTTACAGTGACGGGCCCAACGTCATGCGAAGTTTGAAAAAACGTTTGAAAGAAGATGTGAATCCAGCTTTGCTGGACATTGGTGAATGTAGTTTGCACAAGGTGCATTATGCATTTGCAAAAGGTCTCGAAGCATTTGGTGATACTGTAGAAACAACGTTGCTTGACATATATCACTTTTTCAAAAATTCAGCCGTACAAAGTGCTACGCTGAAGGCAACACAAAGATTCCTAGGCTTGCCTGAAAATGTCCTTCTGCGGCATGTAAGCTTGCGATGGCTGACGCTGAGTTCATCTTTGGATCGATTTATCCAGCAACATGAAGCTGTCAAGGAAACAGTTCTGGGTGCCCAACAAAAAAGTTGAGTGGGTGGCAATATTTATAGGCATCTGAAAGAAAAATCTAATGAAAAAGGATCTACTTCCTAAGGCAATCTTTCTTCGAAATGTCGCAGATGTGTTTGTTGAGTTCTTGACGTTATTTCAACGACGGGAGCCACTCCTTCATATATTGTATGAAGAAATGGTGAAGCTTGTGAAAAGAATTCTGGGACGTTTCCTACTGATCGGTGCATACAGGGACTTCACGGGAGTGGAACTTCAATCCTTTAATGTAGAGTGCTCTGCGAATTGGAAACAGGTAGTTGAAATTGGTGCAGACACTGAAAATTCCATTAATTCTTTCACGCCTGAAGAGATGTTTAGAATAGGTGCACGTAGCTTTTAAATTCAGGTTGCGAAGTATCTGCTTTCAAGGCTGCCCTTTGGCAATAAAGATCTCAAGAGCATTCATCCAAGTGCTGTCAAGGAGGAGAGCGCCATTGTGGCACTCAGCAATTTGGCACAACAAGTGCCAGAATTGTTACCACCGCAGGAAGTGTCTGCTCTGATGGACAAACTAACGCTCCTCTCCACAGAAGAGTTTTTCTCTAATCCACACGAGCGTCTCGACGATGCGTGGCAACACATATTCAGCCTCTTGTCAAAAGACGGTGGTCCCAAGTACTCCCGAACAGGGAACTTTGTTAAAGCTATGCTGTCGCTTGCGCATGGCAATGCTGACGTTGAAAGGGGATTTAGTGAAAATCGCCGTCTTATCCATGAGCGAAGTAACCTTTCAATTGCAAGTTTAAATGGATTGCGTGCGACTAAATCATTTTGTAGCCGGTATGGCCAAGATGCCTCAGCCATTCCTCTAAAGCCTGATATGATAAAAGCGGTAAAGGGCTCATTTAAAAAGTACCAGGAACATGTGTCTGCAAAATGTGAACCCTCAGCCAAGAAAGCGAAGCTTCACCAGGACTCCGTAGGAAGCAAAGTGGATGAGCAGCAAAGTATACAGATAGATATCGATTCTGCTAAGAAGATGCTAGCCAATGCAGAGCTGCTTATTGTAAAAGGGATGAAGGCTAGGAAGTTTGATGATATTGAAAGTGGACAAGCATTGCTCAAGGAGGGTCAGGCAAAACTTGCTAGCAATCTTAGCAAGCTTGAAGATTCAAAGAAAAAGAAAAGCTGTGCGCGCCGGTAGGACTAGTCTCAGTTATGAGGTTTGCATGTGAATTTCACTGTGATGTTTACTTCTTTTTTAGAGTTGAAGTACTCTGTTTAAAGACTCGTGTGAGAGCTTTTCTGTGATATTATTACATTGTAATACCTGTAAAATGATACCTGATAGTGCAAAAATGACAGGCATTCTGCAAATGTTGTGTGTTCAGTAAATGTGTTCATATTTTAGTTCGTAAATTTGTTAAGTGCAATATATGATCAATAATAAATGCAATTATTTTTAAGATAAAATTTATTTGTCGTGTTCCATGCACATATCGGTACCTACCTGCTGCGGTGAGATTGCTCCAAACAGTAGTTAGCTTGCTATAAACAAGGCATTTTTGTGCTCCAAGCACACTAATTCTTGCTCCAAACTTCCACTTTTCCTGCTCCGAAATGCCAAAAGCCACTTCCACCACTGTGCGCCTTCCGCGCAGGTCTGGCATTTTTTTTTCTTTTTGTGCATTTTCTCGCTTACTAAGTGTCATGTCATGGTAAGAGTGGTGTTTACGGGATTGTGAAACTGTATTTTACTGATACACAAGAAATCGTTTTGCTCTTTAGTGTCCCTTTAAAAAGTTGTAAGAATTGGTGTCACAGCAGCAAGCTGTGCCAGGGGTAATGCACAGAAATGTACTCTCTAAACAGCTTTATCTCTTCTTGTGCTTTCACGCCAGTCCAAATGTAAATTACAGAATTCTTTTCAAAGTTAATTGTATTTCACACATTCAGCTTTACATCTGGTGCACCATATGCTGTTGCTTATTCTAGTGACTATTCTATTGAGTGAACTTTCAGTCAAGGGAACTATTTTTTTGGGACCCTTGAAGTTTAGTCAAATGAGAGTTCACTGAAGTTCCACTCTATTGGTCAGTGAAATCACCTTCAGTCCTGAGTGTGTGCTCATTGGTAGAAGCTCATATTTATGTGCCTTTGAAGTGGAAATGCCACTGTCACCTGAAGTTGTATAAGGCTATAGGTCGTATTTAAACTGTGAACTTTTGGGAGGCGCTTAACTCATTCCAAGGCATTTTTTAATCTTTTAAGAGAAAATAGTTTGGTGCTTTTTTAAGCCTCTCCGTTTATGGTCCCTAATAAGTAGTGCTCACCAATCTGAAAGCATTAAAAATGGCATTGAAGAAACTATAGTGAGATCAGGTTAAGTAATGAGCAGCTGTCTATCTACCGCAGCCACCACCATGTGGTCCAGGAGTGCCTGATCAAGGAGGCAGCCCCGCTACAGGTGGCCTGATGCCTGGTCAACAATCGTATGGGCCATCTATGCAGTCACAGCAGCAAGCAGCCCCAGGTAGTTTGCAAATAGAACTGGCAGTGGCCTCAGCTGCCTTTCTCTTCCTGAAGCAGTTTGTATGTCCAGGTTTTGGAAATTCTGTTCATACTATTACCAGAGCCATTCAATACTTCTTATGGTCGCGAAATTGTGCCGCCATGCTATAGGCGAGCTTCATACGCTGCTCGAAAATGCCGCGGTGCCAGAGGCAATCTTCCTTGCCTTCCGCATATTTAAATGCTTGCGCAGTGCAAGACAAGCTGCTGGATATGATGTGTTCATGTTAGCGGAAATGTCTTAGTACAAGGATGCCTAACAGGTGTTGCGTGCAGAGGTGCCGTTCCGGCTACAAGGAAACCAAAGCAATTGTGTCTTCTCTTTACCATATCAACAGCATGAGAAATGGAAGTGGCTGTATGTGCCTAGAGATGGACGTCTGTGCCTGAACCATTGTGACGCCTCTGACATTGTCACTGCGTATGATTGTAACGTCGGCAGAGAATCCATCTCCCTGAAACATGAAAAGCCAACGCTGAAGGCTGATGTCGTTTCAAGAATTTTTGAAGTGCTTCCTTCGTATCTCATGAAGCGCAATTCCCGTTCCTACTCATCGTCAGTGTAACGAACAATCAAATGACCACTTGAGTCACAAACAGACAGGAGCTAAGGGGGGCAGCTTATGTCCTGCAGTTGGTGGTAAAAAATCAAACAGTTGAAGGCGCTTCGGCACCCTCATCCATATGTCATGTGTGTATGTTCAATTTACTTAAGGAAACCCACCACAGGGGCCAAGGCACTCGGCTGCTGACCCGCAGGTTGCGGGATCGTATCTTGGCCTTGGCGGCCGCATTTTCGATGGAGGCAAAAATGCTTGAGGCCCGTGTGTTTAGTTTTAGGTGCACGTTAAAGAACCCCAGGTGGTCGAAATTTCCGGAGCCCTGCATTACATCTCTCATAATCATATGGTGGTCTTGGGCATGAAACCCCAATGTTTATATTATAATTTGCTTAAAGAATTTATTCGGGACCTGATGCATTGGTACTCTATGTATGTGGTTTGTGTGTGAAAATTAAGATATGATTGTGCCTGTATTTTGTTTTTGCACAAGCAACATGGCTTTATTTTTTATTTTTCATTGAATTATCAAGCTTTTTCCCCCTCTAACTTCTGACTAGGATGACAATATCAACATTAGTGAGGTGAGAATATTTTAAGCTCTTGTAAACAGCTGTGTATTAAACCAAACAAATAACCCACTATCGATTGTTTTGATCTGTTAAGATTAGGGCATTGTGTTTTCGGAGTGTATCTTTCTTGAAATTCGGAGTGTATTGTGGATGTTGTTTTATGGGGCAAATTCAGCATTTATCGGAGTTAATTACTGGTAAATCTCCAGTCCTCAGAAATTTGGCTTTTAATTTTGCGTTATAAGTTGTTGAAATGTTGTCTTGATAATTATTTCCTATGAAAAACTTTGCATTGTTGCTCATAATCCTGCCTTTTCATTCTTTCATGTTTTTTCTCTCACTTGCTGTTTATTTACTCTGTTGATGAGGCTGTTCATTTGCACCGTTGTATAATTGCCAGTGTACTTTGTGGGGGGGGGGGGGTTAAGCTGTTCCTCGACTTTTCCTCCCAGCCTCCCTCATCGCCTTGATGAGGAAGGGCTTATTATTTATTGTTATTTTCAACACCCCGAAATTTGAGATGAAATAGCATTATGCTAACCCAGTAAGTGTATTTAATATGTCTGAAAGGTTTGATGCAGGACAAAGTATACACACAAGCACAAATACTTTCAAAACAAAACTTGTTTATTTGTACTACAACCTTAAAGCTTGTAATAGATGCAAGCATACTTTACGAGGTTATTGCCACTGGCGAAGGTGCAGTCCTTCTGATTGATGATTTTCAGCTTTGAAAATGCCCTTAGAATGTTGAGACAGCCTTTTGCAAATTGGAGTTCATTGTATAAATTCAAATGGTCAAATATTTCACCGGCAGGTGTTTATAGAATTTTTTTCGGATTACTCTGAATACACTGAGCTCTATTTAAAGTGCAGCCAGAAGGACTTAGATACTACTCACAATTTAACAAATTGAGAATCTGTGGCGGGCGAATGCGCATAAAACAGCTCATACTTCTGCCTCTGTTTTAATGTGGCACCGCTGGAACTTTGCTGTGATTGTACAGTTTCATTGAAAAGATTACCTGTCATAGTATCGAAACTAGTTATTTATGCATGCTGAGTGGTAAAAGTAAATGCGTCAAAGCAAAGTGACTGTCATGGAAGCTTAAAAAGCTGAAAAACCTAGGCTGTTTCACACACAACCCCAGCGATAGCAGCATTCGCATCGCCTCTCATGCACAGCTGTACCTCTGACAGCAGTTGCTGGCTGCATATGAAACTGAAATAGTAGTTGCGTGATTGTAAGAAGCATTGAATGACTTTGCTATTACTTATGGAATTGCCGCTCAATTATTGAAGAAGTGAGGCATTCAAAATTATAGGACGGGTATTAATGGTGGAGCTCATTCAGACCCACTCAGTAAATATATTTTGCGTTTGCGGCTCACTCAGGCTCACCAATATTTTCTTCAACCAGACTAATTCAAACTCAAACTCACCTTGACTCACTCAGACTCTGGTTCATGGCCCAATTTGAGTCTGAGTAAGTCTCAGTGAGTCGACTCACGAGTACGTTTGCCAACCTATGGTCGAAATTGATGGTCTGGTCTATCCTTTTCTTTGCGTGTTTAGCATTGTTTTGGAACAGAAGCCACTTTCATGTCCCTTTCGGGCTGTTTTCATGTAGTGATCCCACAAGACAGTATTCTCTTACACAGCATTGCATAGTATTAATGAGAACAAATGGAAAAAGATGCCAAGGATGTTATTAGAAGTAATTGTAATGTAAATGTAAAGAAAGAAAAAGAGACAAAAAATAAGTTGCCTCTGGCAGGGACTGACTTTCTTCCACTTCTTTTGTCACATTTACATTACAACTACAGTTGAACGCGGATACAGTGCAGTCCACTTATAACGATACCACATATAACGATATATCGGTTATAACGATGGGTCGACTTAACAGTCTCATTTTATGCATTGGGGCTATGGGGAAAAAAACCATATATAACGATATGTTATCCACCGCATATCGGATACAACGATGAAAAGTTTGCCGTGGACGGCATGTTTCATTCAGAATAATCGTAACATTTAGATTGATAAGTTCCTCTGAAACGAACTATGCCGAGACAAGACGAAAAGTTGGCGTAGGCGAGTACGTATCTGCCGCCACTGCAGGACAGCGCCGGCAGCGCGTCCCGGCCGTTCAAAAAGCCGAGGAAAGCATCGCGAGTTGGCGCGACGCGCTACAGATGGCGCCAGCTGTGTCACGTTTTGCGCCTCGCCGCGCGTCGACCGCGGAGAGGCTGAGAGAATTAAAAAAAAATGCGAAAAGCAAAGCGCCGCGCTCCGCGGCTCCCCGCCTTCTACAACGGCAAGCTACTCGTAGCTTGCCGAACGAAAGCGGGAAAGAGAGAGAAAATAAAAAAAGCGAAAAGCAAAGCGGCGCGGCGGCATGGGGGCGGGGCCTCGTTGGCATTCCGGCTGTGTACCTCTGGCTGTGCTTTCTTCCTCCCACTGCTCCCACCCCGCCGTCGGTCAGTCTCTCTTCCTCAGCGAACCCGTGATGCGTTCTTCGGAGTAAGAAATAAAGTCTTGTTTTTGACATCCTACTATCTACAATATTTATTAATTGGTGAAAATAGCAAAATGAAGCCTGGAGCTACAAAAGGTACGTCCGGCGACGATTTTTTGGCGGCAGTCCAGATATAACGATCACCGGTTATAACGATCATTTTTTTAGGTTTTCTCGATATCGTTATAAGTGGACTGCACTGTATATCGAACTCGAAGAGGATCACGAATTAGTTCGATATATGGAAAATTCTATATAAAAAAATACAGGCCCCGAGAGCTTACCTGTAGTGGATCATCACCTACAACTGGCGCATTTAAGAATGACAACTAATTCCACACACGCCACAACAGAATGATTTATTTGCGTGCGTGAAAAAAATCTCTTACTTGGCCTGCTTCGTATTTGAAATGTTGAAGACGCTAGTCTCGATCTTATCAAGGCTGTCCAGGTGCGACAGCCCGGTTCCCTTCATGTGGCCGATACAATGGCGAATGATGGCGAACGCTGCCGCCACTTTAGCGGCAGAGTACACACGTGTAGCCAGCGCCTCGTCCAGACGATCCCCTTTGTTATATGAGCTGTCGGCTTGGGAATCCTGAGTCCCTGTGATCGCAGCTACTGTGTCCTCGTCAGCGAGGCTCGAAATGGCCTTGACATTGCAGTCCGCTTCCACGAAATCGTCCGCAGACACTTCGTGTGGAACTGTTGCCGGGAAGCGGAACGACAACTCGCGAAACGCGTAGTCTATGTGCTCGTCGTCGTCGTCTTCACCGGTTTCCGCAAGTTCTGCTGTCTCGAAGCCTGCCTTGCGGAAACAGTTGACCACCATGTCTGTCTTCACGTCTCGCCAGGAGTTGAAGATCTTCACGGGATAGAACTTAGCGGAGATTTCTGGTCACTCCTTCGTCATTCATTGCTGGATGACCTGGCTGCTGACAGCTTCGCTTTTGCCAGAAATGGTATTGCAAACGATAATGTAGCGCTAATTAAATTTGTGAAGCCACCCGATGTTGTCGGCGAAGTTGTTTCACTGAGTGCAGCGGCAAACCATTTGGCCTTGGCGATCAGCATTGGGCCATCCACCACAATGTTCTTCACGCACACTTCTAAAAACCAGGCATAGAGTGCCTTTTATACATTCCTGTGGGCAGGAGCGCGCACATGACAGGCTCCCGAAGTTCGCTGCTCCGCCGCCTTTGCCTTGACATATGACTTGTTTTTCAATAATGTACTCGGAGTGGGAGTGCTTTGTGGTATCCCGAAGTCGTCCGCGGCGGTCGAACATTTCTCACCTGCCTCAACACGC